CACACACCCTCACTCTCCACAGTCTGTGTGGAGATTCACTCTCTCGCGCTGGGTGCGGTGTGGCGACTCACGCGCACACGCCCCCACTCTCCACAGTCTGTGTGGAGATTCGCTCTCTTGGGCTGGGTGCGGTGTGGAGACTCACGCGCACCCGCCCCCGCTCTCCACAGTCTCTGCTGACACAGAAGTGGTGGGGGGAGATGGACAACACCACCCCTATCTGGGCCCTGCTTCTCGCCTTCTTCTGCCCCCCTCTGATCTGCACCCGTCTCATCCCCTTCAGGTGAGTCCCCTGGGGTCTGGGGTTCGTCAACCCTTCCTGCGCATTGCCCTCTCACTTGGCCACCTATAGGGTCACCTAGAGGGTCTCTTCCCTGGAAACAGTGTCTGGAGGGAATGTTCTGAAAGATGAGGGCTGTTGGGCTTCTTCTCTATAGGCAATTTCTTTAGTGTTTAGGCATGGCTCTGCAGGAGGCCAGCTCACCTCTCTACACTCTTTGTGGTAAAATAAGTTTGGGTCTTTCTCAAGAACCTCTTTATTTCTCACTCTGTTCCTGCACCCCATGGCAGGAAGCCAGAGGAGGAGTCCACACAGAAGAACCCTGACTTCGACCTGGATAGCAGCATCAATGGAGCGGGTCCTGTGGGGTGAGTGACACCCCAGCACTGTGGGGTCAGGGCGCCACCGCGGGATTGTGTCGGCTTCTACTTCCCATCAGGCACTGGAGCGAGGCCTGCAGGAAGAACTGGACTTTTAGGAGAGCGCGGCTTCAGTGAGCCACTGAAGATGCTGAGGTGGTTTCTAGAAGGCCACATTCAAGGACTGATTGAAATTTGGCCCTTGGGGCCAGTGCGGTAGTCCCGCAGGTAAAGGTGCTTACCACACAAGTCAAAGGCCATGCCCAGACTCCATGATGATGGGAGAGAAACAGGTTTTTCTGATATTGGTTTTTTTGAGACAGGGTTTCTCTGTGTAGCTCTGTCTGTCCTGGAACTCCCTCTGTAGACCAGGCTGGCCTCAAACTCACAGAGATCCACCTGCCTCTGCCTCCCGAGTGCTGGGATTAAAGGCGTGCATCACCACTGCCCAATTCTCCATGAAGAGCAGACATTTGTGATGTCTTTATGTGTAGTCTCAGTATGTGTAGGATGATGTCTAGCTTACCAAGGCCCTGAGCCAAACAAACACAAAACCTCCAGGAAAACAAAACGAAAGAGCGAGGAGCTAGCTAGGAAAATGCGTTGTCCGATCGAGCGTGAGGACCAGAGTTCAGGTTCCCAGGCCTGCAATGAACATCTGGGTGTGGCGGTGCCTGCGTGCACTGGTTCCGGGAGGCAGGGACACAAGAGTGCCTCGGTTCTGCCAGCCAGGCTGTGTGGCCGAATCATCGAGCCCTGTGATAAACATAAGACATCAGACATTGACCTCTGATCTCCTCATATCCGGGTTCTTAGTCTGGATAATAAAATAATTTAGAAATGGACTGGGAGGACGGAGAGAGGAAGCAAATCCTTTTGCCATAGGGGCATAGTGGGAAGATGGAAGGGGTAAGGGGTGCTTCAGAGAGCGAGTGAGAAGGCCCAGATCCTCAAGGAAACATTGTAGCCAAATAAACAGCACGGGAAAAGAAAAGTGTGTTTCTGAGTTAGGAGTCAGGAAATAGGGCAGAGTGCTTGTGGAGAATTAGGAGTGTTGTCCAGCAGGTGACTCAGACTCCCTGGGGTGGGGAGGACTCCAAGACCAGAGACTGGTGGACTGTGCTGCATTAACTCTTTAAACGCTTTAAGAGATTTTATTTTGTTTTTAATTATGTGTCTATGGATTTTTGTCTTTTGGGCTCTGTGCATGTGAATGCAGTTGCCTTCTGAGACCATAAGAGGGCGTTGGATCCCCTGGAACTGGAGTTATACAGGGTTCTAAGCTGCCATGTGGGTGCTGGGAATTTACAACACAAACACAGACACACCCACCCACACATGCAAGCGCACACACACATACATGTACACACATGCATGCACAGGCACTCACACACACAACTCCCCACACTGTTACCTCAAATGGAATAAGAGATAACTTATTCTAGAGCCAGATATGAATGGTCAAAGCTTGACCCCAATAAGCCCCAATAAGCCTCTCCGCCGATGCAATAATCCAAATCAGACCAAATCAAACCGAATTAGAAAAAGCCCAGGTTTAATGGATACCAGTGCTCCTGGGTGACCTTCCAGACCCGAAGAGGAAACAGAGAAGACCAGAAAACCATGTGTTTGTTTTCTGGGTTGCTGTTTAAATACCCTGTGGGAGTGGTCTTGAGCCTCTCTGGGGAGGGGTCACTGTTTGGTGGCCTTTCTAGGAAGGTGGAGTCTGGACTGGGGCAACTTCCAGGGCAGAGGGCTTGGGATGGACCTTCCACCCTAACAGTCCAGACTCTTTGGATATATGGATGCCAGGGGCTGGGGGCTGGGGTGAAGCCTTAACCCAAACAGGCAACACTGAGCTAAGTTACTTCTATGGTCCAACGTGAAAACAGTTTCGTGGAGTTTTTATAGTAGCAAAACAAAGAAATTCATAAGTCAAGGCATTTTAAAAAATACGTTTCTACAAAGTGATTTCTGGGACAACTATGGCTACACAGAAACCTGGTCTTTAAAAAACCCCAAACCCAAAAAACACCTCCCAAAAGATAAAACAAAATAAAAAAAAAACCCATTACATGAGCGGATGGGGCAGGCAGAACGGCTCGGGTGCCATCTTACAACCTTCTTAGCTCTCTATTGATGGAAAATAGGGATTTATGACGTTAATACATTGCAACATTTGTATCTGTTTATTAGGATATGAGATCTGATACTGAAGACAAGGGGGTAAAGATAACCCAATAGAAATTAAACTATTTGGAGGCCTTTAATCCCAGCATTCAGGAGGCAGAGACAGGTGGATCTGTGAGTTCAAGACCAGCCTGGTCTACAGAGCGAGTTCCAGGACAGGGTCCAAAGCCACAGAGAAAAAGAAAGAAAGAAAGAAGGGAGGAAGGGAGGGAAGGAGGGAGGGAGGGAAGAAAGGAAAAGAAAGAGAGAAAACGGACTACCTGATAGCAGCATCCAGGCTCTGCATAGTCTCTGCTGTCTTTCTGCTTATGGCCCCTGTAGACAGCATTTTCCCAGGAATGCTCAGGTCCAGAGCTAAACCTGGTCCTACAGAAAAGCAGCCAGTGCTTCGAACTCCAACCCCTTAACTTTCTTCTAAGTCACATTTCCTTTTTTAAAATTTATGCATGTGTGGCTTTGTTTGGGGGAGAGAATGGTGCACACCACCGCACGTGTGGCTTTGTTTGCGGGGAGGGGCATGGTGCACGCCACTGCATGTGTGGAGTTCTGAGGACAACCTGTAGAAGCCCGTTCTCTCCTTCTGCCTCGGGGATCAGTTTCGTGCTATTTAAGCCTGGTGGCAGATGCTTTCTTTGGAGTAGGTGACAATGCTGTGTGGTGTTTTGAGTAGTTTAGAATGACTGAGCTCTACGCAAAGGTCCCTGTGCTCACAGATCGCTAGGAAACCAAGAACGTTAAACCCACAGGGTCTTCTTCCCAATGGAGGAAATACATGTCATTTATTTATTTTATTTTCTGTTCATTGGTGTTTTACCTGCATGTATGTCCATGATGTCTGTGTAAGGGTGTCATGCCCCCTGGAACTGGAGTTACAGACAGTTGTAAGCGGCCATATGGGTGCTGGGAATGGAACCCAGGTTTTCTGGAAGAGCAGCCAGTGCTCTCAGCTGCTGAGGCATCTCTCCAGCCTCCAGGAGAGGATTTTGTTAACAACCTGGTGACCGTTTTGCCCTCTGTGGAGGCAGACCTCACCCACCTTTTATTACAGAGGCAGACCTCATCCAAATCCCCCAGAATGATTATCCCAGGCTCTTCTCTCCATTACCCATCCTTAGGGGAGATGTCACGTGTGCTCTATGGCCTGCTAACCTCTGTGCTATAGGTCTCTTATCTGGGGAGCCCACCCTCATGGTCACAAGGTAAAGAGTTCTAAGTCACACTTAAACGTTATTGTTTACCTGGAATGGGAATGCTTGGGCTGACTGATGCATGGAAACCATTTCCCAAACTGTCCTGTGTTTTGAATATGCTGGCATCGAACTGCCCGGCATTAGACTCTTCGAGGATCACTGTGTTGACACCTTTGGGGCACCCGACACATTCGGGGTGCCCTCCCTAGGGCTCAGTTCCATTCTTTAGGCCAGGAGGAGGTAGGTGGGCCTTAAAGGACTCCCAGGCCCCCACCTTTTCACGTGATTTAAAATCTAAGGAACCCCGGTTGCCTCCAAGTCCTGCAGAATACTATGTGTGGAACACTGTGCACCAAACCCTGGTTCAAGGCCTTTTTTAAAAAATATTTTCCCCTCTTTTTTTTATTGATATTTATTGAGCTCTACATTTTTCTCTGCTTCCCTCACTGCCTCTCCCCTCCACCTTCAATCCTTCCCCAAGGTCCCCATGCTCCCAATTTACTCAGGAGATCTTGTCTTTTTCTACTTTCTACTTCCCCTGTTGTCTGAGTTCTCTGGGATTGTGGTTTGTAGGCTGGCTTTCTTTGCTTTATGTTTAAAAACCACCTATGAGTGAGTACATGTGATAATTGTCTTTCTGTGTCTGGGTTACCTCACTCAAAATAATGTTTTCTAGTTCCATCCATTTTCCTGCAAAATTCAAGCTGTTGTTATTTTTTTCTGCTGTGTAGTACTCCATTGTGTAAATGTACCACTTTTTTTTTTATCCATTCTTTGATCAAGAGGCATTTAGGTTATTTCCAGGTTCTGACTATGACAAACAAAGCTGCTATGAACATAGTTGAGCACATGTCCTTGTGGTACGATTGAGCATCCTTTGGATGTATACCAGCACCATTTGTTAAATATGCTTTCTTTTTTTCCATCTGATATTTTTTGCTTCTTTATCAAAGATCAGGTGTTTGAAGATGTGTGGATTGATATCCGGGTCTTCGATTCCATTGGTCTTCCTGTCTGTTCTTATGCCAGTACCAGGTTATTTTCAGTACTGTAGCTCTGTAGTAGAATTTGAAGTCAGGAATTGTGATGCCTAAACAATTTTTTATGATTTATTTAACTTTATTTTATGTTCATTGGTGTGAGGTTGCCGGATCCCCTGGAACAGGGGTTACAGACAGTTGTGAGCTGCCATGTGGGTGTTGGGAATTGAACCTGGGTCCTCCGGAAGAGCAGTCAGTGCTCTTAACCGCTGAGCCATCTCTCCAGCCTGGTTCAAGTCCTTTTTAAATTATAAATTTAGATTTATTTATGTTTGTTTTATGTGTATGGGTGTTCTGCTTTCCTGTGTGTCTGCATATCGTGTGTGTGCCTGGTGCCCACAGAATCAACTGGGAATGCAATTATGGACTGTGGGCTGCCATGTGAACGCTGTGAATCAAATCCAGGGGCTCTGCAAGAGCAGCTGGGACTCCTAATCCCCGGGCCATCTCTCCAGCGCAGTTAGTTTAAATACACTGCCAGCACAGAAATTCAATCCTTTTACCTGCCACTTTCTTGCCCCCAGCCCTGGGCAGCTGAGAACTCATCTCCTGACTTTATCTATAGATTTGCATGTTCTAGAAACTTCCCTGTGTGGAACTGACGCTAAAGGCTGTTTTCTCGCTGGCTTTATCCTGTTTGCATCCTCTAGCCTGGTTTCCTTCTGCTGGTTTTTAAAGACAGGCTATTGCACTCAGTGTTTCAGTTCAGTTGTTGCTGGTGTTTGTTTTTGAGACACGGTTCCCCGATATGGTCCTGTCTGGCTTGGAACTGACTGGGTAGGCAGCACTGGGGTAAAGTTGGCAGACACCATGCCCGCTTATGCTCACTTTTTGTTTTATTTCTTTGTTATTTGTTTTTCTTTGGTGTTTGCTTTGTTTCTTCACAAAGCTCAGGCTGGCATCAAACACATGGCAATCCTCCTGCCTCAGTCTCTAAAGTGTAAGGAGGCAAGAGTCGCCACACCGTCGTTCCTCCTTTCCTTCCTTCCTCACTCTATCTCAGGCCGGACTCAAACTCAGTCTCAAATGTCTTGGGTTTGCAGTGTCTTCAGGTCCCCAGAGTGCGGGGTGGTACTGTGTGGAGGTGTCCAAGGTGGGTAGCCAGTCCAGGCTCAGGGGTGGCTGAGGCTTGCTTTCTTGCAGGCCTTCAGAGCCCTCCGCGAAGGTGGCCCTGGAGAGGCGACGGCGGCCAGGACGTGCCCTCTGCGGTGGCAGCTGCTCCAAGCGCTGGTCGCACTTCTGGGGTGCTCCGGTGACCGCCTTCCTGGGCAACGTGGTCAGTTACCTGCTGTTCCTGCTGCTGTTCGCGCACGTGTTGCTGGTGGATTTCCAGCCCGCGGCGCCCGGTGCCTTCGAGCTGCTGCTGTACTTCTGGGCCTTCACGCTGCTGTGCGAAGAGCTGCGCCAGGGCCTGGGTGGCGGCTGGGGGAGCCTGGCCAGCGGCGGACCTGGGCCCGGCGAAGCTCCCCTGCGCCACCGGCTGCACCTCTACCTCTCAGATGCCTGGAACCAGTGTGACCTGCTGGCACTCACCTGCTTCCTGCTAGGCGTTGGCTGCAGGTAAGTGAGCAGCCCTGGCTAGTGAATAAGGGACCGGTAAGCGTGACTCTGTGGTACACGTGACCCAGTGGGAAAGCCCTGCCCAGAATCCCCGGGGAGGGGCTGCGCGTGGCTCAGTAGTGGAGGGCCTAGTTTATTCCCTTGGGTAATGGGCAAAGGCTACCTCCCCTTTACTGAAGCGGTCCTCAGCTGGCACACTCAGAGGTAGGCTCCTCCAGGCCACGTGAGGATGAAACAGAGTAACCTGGTATGAATGATTTATTCAAACAGAGAGGGAGATAAGCGAGTTTAGCAAACTAGTATTTCTGTTTGTCCCCGGCTTTCTTTTATGTAATTTGTGTGACATATTGTCTGAGAAGACAGGGCCAAGGCCCTGCTTCATGCAGAAAAGCCAGTGTCAAGAGCATATTTGATACATTTTTTTGTTGTTGTTGTTTTTGTTTTTCAAGACAGGGTTTCTCTGTGGCTTTAGAGCCTGTCCTGGAACTAGCTCTTGTAGACCAGGCTGGCCTCTTGATACATTTTATTAAGCACCCTTTTTTTCAAGATCTAAAAAATCTTTGCATCTTGGGAAGGAGAAACATCCTCACTTCCAGCCTAGATGGTGAATCTTCCTTTGAGCCCTCCATGGGGACACTTGGTTATTTCTATTTCTACTTTTGTTTTGTTTTTCGAGACAGGATTTTCTCTGTAGCTTTGAATTCTATCCTGGAACTAGCTCTTGTAGACCAGGCTGGCCTCGAACTCACAGAGATCCGCCTGCCTCTGCCTCCCGAGTGCTGGGATTAAAGGTGTGCGCCATCACTGCCCAGTTCTATTTCTAATTTTTACTGATGCAAAAAATAAAAGTTTACATCCCTGGTGTAAAAGGAGTGGGTCAAAGGGCACGTGAATTGGTTATATTTCTCTCTAAATAGCTTCACCCATTTGCCTGCCTGCCTGCCAGAAAGAGTCATGAGCGCCCCCATGAGGATACTCTAGGCAATGTCTGGCGCTTTGTATTGTGAAGCTGTCAATCAAATCAGATTTACAACCTTTGTCAATCTGACACCTGTAAATCTTTCATTTATGCACCTTTGACCACTCCATATTTTAGGGGCCCTCCTGTCCTCTTTTGAGACAGGGTCTCACTCTGTAGCCCAGGCTGGTATGAAACTACCTATAGAGACCAGATGGAACATGCTAGCCCACTGAGCATGTGGCTCTGGCATGCCTTGGCCTTCTCCCCATTCCCTCTGCTGTGCTGGAAACCATTAGATTGCTTTCCTAAAGTTAGTCACCACTTTCTCCTCCTGAGGCTGGCTACCAAGCTCCAGCTAGCAAAGTATTGAAGTCCAACAATCAAAAGCCCCTTTTGGTTCATCAATTAACATGCTCAATTAAATTAAACACCTCATCCCAACACAGGGTTCCCTCTTTTATCTTTTTTTATTATTTATTTATTTTTATTTTGTATACGTTGGTGTTTTGCCTGCAGATCTGTCTGTATGGAGGCATCAGATGCCCTGGAACAGGAGTTACAGACAGTTGTGAGCTGCCATGGGGGTGCTGGGAATCGAACTCTTAACCTCTGAGCCATCTCTCCAGCCCCTCCTCTTTTATCTTTATAAACCTCCGGCTGCTCATATCCCACATCTGTCTGCTCTCTATCCCGAGAGTTCTTTAATCCTGAGAGTCCTTTGTCCTCCAGGACAAAGACCCTGCCCCTCTCCCTTGCTCCCTTCCCCTTCTGCCTCATCCTCTGCCTCCTGTCTTTGTCTCTAGTTCCCTGCCCTTTCTCCCTCTGGGGCAAATAAATCTCCTTTGTGCTGAGAACTTGGTCTTGGGGATCCTTTTTTCTCAGCCTCCGCAGTGCTGGTGTGGGCATTGCAAGCTCCTAACATGATTCTTGGGGCACCACCCTCCCTCATTGTACTGACACCAAAGAAAGGTGGCGTGGTCAGAGGGTCCCTGCTTCTGCCCTGTGAGGCCTCAGCTTCATCTGAGGAGGCCACTGATCTATGCTGTGTGTGACTCAGGCTGACCCCTGGGCGATATGACTTGACTCCTCAGGTTGACCCCTGGGCTGCGTGACTTGGGCCGCACGGTCCTCTGCCTCGACTTCATGGTCTTCACACTGCGGCTGCTTCACATCTTCACGGTGAACAAGCAACTGGGACCCAAGATTGTCATCGTGAGCAAGATGGTGAGGTTGAGGAGGAGGGGCAGGGCCGGGTGTGGAGAAGGCAGAGGTCAGGGCAGAAAGGTGAGCTCTGGAAGGGAGGCCTTGCCCTCCTTTTCAGATCCTGTGGATCTGTGGGTAGGAGGTGCCAGGGAGGGGAAGGGGTGACCAGGGGAGAGGTAGGACTTTTGAGCTGGTCAGGGCCAGGAAGAGGCTGGCTTTAGAGGATGCCGAGAGTCTAAAACAAGAAGGTAGCCGGGGAACGGGGAAGGACAGGGTCATACTCAGCCCCATCTTCCTCTGTTTTCAGATGAAGGACGTATTCTTTTTCCTCTTCTTCCTCTGTGTATGGCTTGTGGCTTACGGGGTGGCCACAGAGGGGATCCTGCGGCCCCAGGACCGCAGCCTACCGAGTATCCTGCGTCGCGTCTTCTACCGTCCCTATCTGCAGATCTTTGGGCAGATTCCCCAGGAGGAAATGGATGGTAGGCAAGGGTTTTCCAGCTGTGTCTGTCTCTCAGCCTGTCTGTGTCTCTGTGTCCCAGTCCCTTCTCCCTCCCTCTATCCCTCCCGGCCTCCCTCTGCTCACTCTCGCTGTCCCCTCCCCCCCCCCCCAGTGGCCCTCATGAATCCAGGTAACTGCTCTGCGGAGCAAGGCTTCTGGGCTTACCCAGAAGGGCCTGTCTCGGGCTTCTGCGTGTCCCAGTATGCCAACTGGCTGGTGGTGTTGCTCCTCGTCGTCTTCCTGCTGGTGGCCAACATCCTGCTGCTCAATCTGCTCATCGCCATGTTCAGGTGTGCCTGCTTTCCCTCCCAGCTCCTCCCAGTCCGAGCCTGCTCAGTATCCCATGTCCTGATTCTCACTCAGTGCTGGCCACACCCGGTGCCTCACTTGGACTTGCTGTTGTTTTTGGCATGTTTAGGCAGGGTCTCACCCTATGCCCAGGCTGGTCTTGGAATTTAGGGTAATCCTGCTCTGCTCCCCGAGTGTTAAGATGCATGGGCCACCATGCACCAAAAGCTTTTAATTTTGATGAAGTCCACTTTGTTGAATTATTATTTTTGTTGCTTGTAGTTTATTTTATTTATGTGTGTGAATATTTTGTCCGCATGCATGTGTGTGCAGCATGTGAATGCAATGCCTTCAGAAGTCAGAAGGGGACACTGGATCCTCAGGAACTGGAGTCACAGGCAGTTGTCAGCCGCTATGTAGATGCTGGGAGCTGAAGCTTGCTCCTCTGCAAGAGCAGCCAGTGCTCTGAACCCAGGCCGAGCCACCTCTCCAGCTGGATTTTGTTTTTTTTGTGGCTCATGCTCTTGCTGTCCCATGTGAGGGTCTGTTAAAAGTCCAGAGTCTAGATATGTTCTTCCAGGTTTTCTGCTAAGAGTTCGTTTGGGGTTTGAGCTCTGACTTGTGGCTCACTGACTCATTTGGAATTATTTTTGTTTGCAGTGTGAGGACAGGTTGAATTTTATTCTTTGTGTCCATTCAAGAGAGTTGATTAGAGACACTGATCTTAAGGTCCTTGTTGGAACCCCTGGACTCAGGTGGGCATGGCAAAGCAAGCCTGTTGTCCCAGCACTTGGAAGGTAGAGACAGGAGGATCAGAAGTTTAGGTTACGTGAAACCCTATATCAAAAATCAAACAAGGGCTGGAGAGATGATGGCTCAGCGGTTAAGAGCACAGGCTCCTTTAGAGAAGATTTGGGTTCCCAGCACTCACATGGCAGTTCACAACTGCCTGTAATTCCAGTTCCAGGGGATCTGACACCCCCTTCTGGCCTTTGTGAGCAGTGCACTCACATGCATGTAGGCAAAACACCTATACACATAAAAATAAATAAACCTTAAAAAAAAAACCAACCTGGGTGTGATAGTGCAAGTCTTTAATCTCAACACTCAGGAGGTAGAGGCCAGCTGATCTCTGACTTCAAGGTCAGTCTAATCTACAAAGTGAGTTCCAGAACATCCAGAGCTACAGAAAAACAAACATAAAAAAAAAACAAACCTTTGAAACCCATATCAAGTAACCAGTGTATTATTTTGAAAAACAAAGCCAGGATGGCAGGGTAGAGTTGGGGACAGCTCAGTCAGTCGGGCACTTGCCTAAGCTTGATCCCCAGAACACATGGAAAATTCCCAAGCATGATGCTGGGTTATGGTAATCCCAGTACTGGCAAGACAGAGACAGGAGAGTTTTGGAGGATTCTGCTCGGACAGGCTAGTCTAATCAGTGAGCTCCTGGCCAGCGAGAGACCCTGCTTCAAACGTATACAGTGTCCTGATGATGACATCAAGGTTATCCTTTGGGCTCCACATGCACACAATATGCATCTGTCCATATTCACACGTTCCCACACATGACTGTGTAGATAGACACTGTGCTGGACAGACGGCTCAGGAGTTAAGAGCACTTGCAGTTCACTCACGAGGATCGGAGACCCCGGCACCCTTATAGGACAAATGGCTGGAGCTCCAGGTGCAGGGGATCTCACACCTTTTCTGATCTCCACGGGCACTTGCCTACAAAACCTTTATTTCTGTCATATGTGTATGAGTGTTTGCCAGCATGTACGTGTGCACACCACCTGAGTGTAGTGCTGGCAAAGACCAGAAGAGGGCACTGGATCTTTTGAAGTGAGACAATTGTGAACTACCTCCAGTGTTCTGGGAACTGAAGCTGGGTCCTCAGCGGGAGCCAAGTGCGGTTAACTGCTGAGCCATTTCCGCAGCCCCTGACTACTTTGTCTTGTCTTATGAGACCCAGTCCTATGATCAAGGTCTTTTATTGGCCTCCAGTGACCCTTGACCTCCGACCTCCACAGCTACACCTTCAGCAAAGTACAAGACAACAGCGACCTCTACTGGAAGGCACAACGCTACAGCCTCATCCGGGAATTCCACTCCAGGCCTGCGCTGGCCCCGCCCCTTATCATCATCTCTCACGTGCGCCTTCTCATCAGGTGGCTGCGCAGGTGTCATTGGGCACCCTCCCCAGTCGTCGAACACTTCCGTGAGAATGGAGCGCGGTTTGCAAGGGGGTAGCACTCGGGAGGGGAAAGGGAAGAGAGACAGGTCGGTGATGTTCCGGTGGGGAGCGCATGGTCTGCACCCATGTGGGGGCGGGGTCTGAAGAATTTGAAGGCTTTGGGGAGGCGGTGTGGCCTCCCCATTGACTCCTGGACTTGGCCCTGCAGGTGTCTACCTCTCTAAGGAAGCAGAACGGAAGTTGCTGACTTGGGAGTCTGTGCACAAAGAGAACTTCTTATTGGCACAAGCTCGTGACAAGCGAGACAGTGACTCGGAGCGCCTGAAACGCACGTCTCAGAAGTGAGGCAGGGGCCTGAGATGCTCAGGATTCCCCGGGTGGGATGCTGATGCGCTTGCATCCTACTGGAGGTTTCAGGAGGGGTGACTCCTGCAGGTCGGCTGGACCCGGGCTCTGAGGGTCTCTCTTTCTAGGGTGGACACGGCACTGAAGCAGCTGGGACAGATTAGAGAGTATGAGCGGCGCCTGAAGGGGCTGGAGAAAGAGGTGAAGATTCGGGCATGGCAGAGTGGGAGGGGCAGGGATGGGACCGCCTGATTCCCTACACCTGCCTTGACATACCCCTTTCTTTCCAGGTCCAACACTGTACTCGCGTCCTGAGTTGGGTGGCTGAGGCCCTTAGCAGCTCTGCCTTGCTGCCTCCAGGGGGGCCACCCCCTCCAAGCCCACCTGGGTCCAAAGGTCCGTCTGTACCCTCCTCCCATTGTCCCTGGGTGCCTTGCTTGGTCTTCTGAAGGCCCTGTTGGTTCTGCTTGTGTGTGGGTCTGTGAAGTTGGTGTGAGCAAATGCATGTGGCGTCCTGGGGTGGATGTCTGATGCCTTCCTCCGTCTCCTGCCACCTGGTTCTTTGAGATAGGATCTCTTCCTGGACCCAAAGTTCTCCTGTTGGCTGGGCCAACTGGCCAGTGAGCTCTGGGAAGCGGTCGGCATCTGCCCCACTCCCTTGACTCCTGAAGCGGGTGCTGTGTTCACCCTGGCGTGCCTTTTTACATGGGAGCTGTGTTCTCGCTCCAGTTCTGTATCTCTTGGTGAGATAAAACACTCCAACCAAAAGTAACTTAGGAGATGAAGGATTCATTTGGCTTCCACTACCAGGTGGCAGTCCATCAGTGAGGGAGGCAGGGCAAGGACGGGAAGGTAGACAATGTCAGAGGTAATGCAGAGAGATCACTCACTGCCAGAGACATGTACCAGAAACCGCAGAGCGACGTTGCTTGCAGGATCACCAAGGCTTGGCAGAGCTAGCTTCCTCTTCCAGTTAGAATTCCTCAGGAACTAGTACCGCCCACAGGAGGCGGGCCCTCCTACACCAATTAACAATCAAAACAGTCCCACAGACGTGCGCGGGGGCCAGTTTGATCTAAGCAGTCCCGCAGTTGACGCTCTTCCTCTCTAGTGAAAGCTAAGCAGCTGAGCGGGAGAGCCAACTGAGCCGTTCCCAGCTGTGATCTCTGTGCTGCTCTCCCGCGGCCCTGCTCATCCCTGCTCACCGCCTCTGTCTTCTATCTCTTCTAGACTGAGTGTTCCTGGTGGATTCCTAGGTATTGGCGTCCATAGAGGCTTCATTTCCAGAGTTGGGCCCAGCCTGCCTCAATCTACACAACTGGCGGCCTTATCCTCACCATGAGTCGCATGCTCGGGGAGAGGGGGGGGGAGGGGCGTTGCCTGCTCAACAACCTCAGAGTGTCACCATGGGAACCCCAGCAGGCCTGGCTCCTCCCAGGGGCAGCCCCACCTTGGGTGGATCAAACTCTGAGCTGGCAACGTTGGGCTTTCCACAAGCAGAGGGGGCCAGAGGGTCCCGGGGTTACAGGGACCACAGACCCTATTCACAGCTTCCCCACAATGGGGAAAATAAAACCTTTTGATAGGAATCAGAGCGCGTGCCTGACTCAGGCGGGACAGGTGGGCTGGACTTTGGGGTTGGTGGCTGAGGTAGGCTGGGAATTTGGGTCCTTGATGGATTTTATTTTGCTCTATCTCTATGTCCTCAAGCCCTACACCTGCCGATGTGGCCCCAGCACCTCTGTACAGACCTCTGTTTTGGGGCCTCCCTTCAGACGACAGGAAGAGTCTGAGTTCCTGCTGCCTTCCCGTGGGAACAAGGGACTGAGTTCTGGAGAGGGGCAAGCGCCGCGCTCATCTGCTCTGGCAACATGCATACATTTGATGCAGATTTGAGGAGATAAATGCGTATGTGTCTTTAAAACGCCTAATTAGTGGAAAATTGCAGGCCACACTCACGCGGGGGTTGAGGCAAATCCGCATCATTACACGTTGCAATTTAACTAAATAACCCATAACAAACTAAGCTGGTAATGACAAGGCTGAACGGACAGCGATTATTAGTTAAATAGGGAGAAAGCCACCAAACAGTCAACACATCCAAAAACCAAAACTAAAACATCCTCCCGATTGGAGGGGTTCCAGCTCTCTGCCTCTCTGGGTGTGGAGTCGTGTTGGAACATGGCCAAGTGTGCATCAACAAGATTCCCAGGAAATGCTGAGTCCATCCCACCAGCCCAAATAGTAACCATGGTGGCCGTCAGAAGGGGCTGCGCCAGCCCTAGCTGACACATCACTGTCTGTGCTGCTGGCCTCGCGCTGACTGCTTCATGGGTTCAACTCTTCCTCTCAAGCAGCGAGAGCAGATCCATCTCCTTGGGTGCTAGGAATTTAGATTTTTTTTTAAAAAAAATCCACTTATTAAAAAAAAAAAGCCAGGCGGTGGTGGCACACACCCTTAATCCTAGCACTTGGGGAAACAGAGGCAGGTGGATCTCTGTGAGTTCAAGGCCAGCCTGGTCTACAGGAACTAGTTCCTGGACATCCAGGACTGTTACACCGAGAAACCCTGTCTTGAAAAATAAAAAAAATACACTTATTAGTTTATTTGTGTGTGTGTGTGTGTGTGTGTGTGTGTGTATGCATGTAGTCCCATGTATATGGGTGGACACATGCATAACACAGTGTATGTATGGGTGAAGGTCAGAGGACAATTTGAGAGGCTAATTTTTTCCCTTCCATGCATCTCCCAGCTACCAGATTCAGGCAGCAGGAAGTATCTTCCAGCTCTGGGGGGGGGGGTCACAGAAGGAGCCCTCCCCGACTGAACCACTCGCCTGGTCCCCTCCGACCTCCAGGAAGATGCTCTAGCTGAGTCCCCAGACCCTAGCATTTTTTGATTTAGGAACCAGCATGTCTCACAGGCAGAAATTTTACTCCAGAAGGTTAAATCTGAGTAGAAATTCCTTTTGCAGAAATCCATTAGCTGGACGTGGTGGCTCATGTCTTTAATCCCAGCACTCCATAGGCGCAAACAGGCAGATATTTGTGAGTTCAAGGCTAGAATGGACTACAGAGCAAGTTCCTGGACAGCCAGGGCTACACAGAAAAAAAAAAAAAACCCCTGTCTTCAAAAACAAAGAGAAAAAGAATCCTTTAAACCAAATGCATCCTAAAAGTATATATTTTTTTCTGGATCCCATGGAACCTTGACAACCACATCTGTTGGAGCCTTCAAGTCCAGGGGAGCCGCATGTGTGTGCTGTGAGCAGGAGAACCCTGTCCCTGATCCTGCAGTCACGTCGTGCAGCATGCGTGCTGCGAGCAGGAGAACCCTGTCCCCGATCCTGCAATCATGTCGTGCAGCAGCCCCTATGGTGCAATACTAAACTCACTTGTAAGGAGGTAAAATCAAACCCCAGACCTGGCAGTGTTGGTGAGGAGTGTGCCAGTTTAATAAAGTGTGGCCCTCTGGGATAGGAAGGATGGGGGCTGCATAGGTCAGGATCGGTGGAACCTGCTCAAGATCCAGCAGGAAGCTCTGTTAGACCAGTAGAGGGGGTGACCAGGAGGACCAGGTGGAAGCCAGGGAGGATGGGTTTATTTTGGCCCATGATTTCAAGGAATATAGTATTCTGTTGGAAGCTCCGCCTCAGCCCCACTCCTTCCTCTCCAAATCCTGCTACCCTCAGAAAGACCACAAAAAGTCCAGGCTCCTCCCACGAAGCTCAAGACCACGCCTACAGGGTATTTAAGCCCCAGTCGCTAGACCTGCCATGTGATTTCTCCTCCCTCCACCACCTCACTTCTGGGGCACACTTGGCTCATTAAACCTGGTCTTTTAAATTTGGCTTGATCTGGCTTATTACATCGGTGGAGTAACCTACTATCTGGGTACCAGAAATACCTATTATAGTCCACCGTGGTGGAGGGGCATGGCTACAATGCATCTGTGGCGGTAGCCTCTAGGCATCATGGCTTACTAGGAAGTAGAGACACAGAAACAAGTTAGACTACAATCCCCCAAGTCTCACTTTCAGTGACTCACTTCTTGTCTGTAGTCAAGTTTTCAAAGGTTCCACACTCTCCCCAGAGAGCGCCACCTGTTGGAGCACAAACGTTCAAACACATGCGCACATTTCACATCAGGACGAGACGGCAACCTTAGTGCAGCGAGCTCCCGAGGAATGGCAATGCTCGAGACACCTGGGTACAGGGGTGGACGTGATAGTGAGGCTGGAGGGCGGAACCTGTGGGGCCCAAAGGGATCGAAGAAGAGGGATCTTTCTCTTTGGTGGTGGCAGGTGCTGGCAGCTGCTTGCCTTGACATCATGACTGGTGCTTCTCAAAGAAGGAAGTTCAGCATTGTTATGCCCAGATCCTTGACGTCCTCCCCCAACCAACAAGGAAACTGAGTCTTGTATGTAAAAGCAAAGAGCCTTTATTTTACATAGGTTTGCAAATTCGGTCTCTTCGTGTGTCCAATGTATTGGAATAATCGGAGAGCTCGAGCTCAGTAATTGGAGTTGGGTTTTTATAGTAGAGAAAGTGGGGGTGAGGGGTTTCTAAGGTTCAGGACCCCTGATTGGCTGTCATCTGTTTAGGGTGTCCTGGTGAGGGTGCTGGCATGTGATCCTATTTACAATGGTTGGAAAGTTAGGCGTTTCCTTTGGATGGTCTATTCTTGGGTGGTGCTGGGTACTCTCAGTTTATTGTCCTTCCTGCAACCAGGTATTGCTTCAGGGTAAACTACTGAGATTCACGCCTCTCTTAAACTTATTGATGGCTGAGTCTTACAAGGGCAGGTGAGAATGGTTAAAAGTGAAGAACTTCCTTGGGGGGATTGCTGGAGAGATGGCTCAGAGGTTAAGAGCATTGCCTGCTCTTCCAAAGGTCCTGAGTTCAATTCCCAGCAACCACATGGTGGCTCACAACCATCTATAATGGGGTCTGGTGCCTTCTTTTGGCTTCTACACAGCCAGAATATTGTATACACAATAAATAAATATTAAAAAAAGAACTTCCTTTGGGTGGTCTGCTTCTATTTAGTTTATCATGGCTGGCTCCTACATTTCCCCCTTCACAAGCACCGATGACAGGACCCAATCAGAGGTCCTGCTTCTTGTCCATGGTTTTAAGGAGGTATTATTGGGACCTAAGAATTATTTTAGTTAATGAATCCATTATTGACAACTCTGGGCCTATTTTTATGGTATATCGATGGGCACTATAGGTAGCTATTTTGTCCCCCATGCCAGGGAGCTCCCCACTGTCTCAGTCTTTCACCCTATTCTGGGCAGGGAGCATAGGACGATGTGCTTTTTTCCACAACTACTTCAAGCTGACATTGAGACATTGTTATCAGGGCCCAAGCAGGTTGAAAGGCTAGCCAAAGGTAGGGAGGGAATTCAGGCAATGGGACATTCTTCAGACTCTGTTGAAGGGACAGGGAGTGTTCACATCCTGTCCCTTCAGCTGGTCCACATCAGCTTTCAGGAAGCCCAGGGCTCACCACCACTCAGAGCAGGTTGTAGTCAGCACTGATGCCTAGATGCGTCTGCCAGCCAAGTGGAAGCCTATTGAGATAAGTTTAAACTAGGGACAGAAATTAAAATTTATTTACTTAAAGAAAAACCCATATTGTAGAAAAAGAGCAGACAATGGGCATCTGCAAACAGAAGGAATGGACTCCTACCTTTGAGTCCTAGCAAAAACTACAGATTTTGGTAAGAAGCATGTGTATTTTTCTGCTGTCCATATTTAAATGGTAACCAGAATAAATCTAAAACCTTGAGCTTGTGACCCACACAGTAAGCAGTCGTTGCTTTAGCATCTTATTAGAACTATACAGAAAAGGGGGAGAAATCACCAACATTTTCCATATCTTAATCTGTATTTACATCTTAAGTCATTTTTAGACCTTTTATATCCTCAGACCTTAAAACATTTTTTATAGAGGGGACCCAGTATCTTTAGAATGAGCTAGCAAGCTGGCTGTAGCTTTGTGGAAGGATCTGGATACCTTTTGCTGCTAAACTGACATTATAACTGCCCTAGTCATCAATACTATCACAGATCCCAGAAGGATAAATAAACTATACCTGAGTACAGACCAAGTAGTTTCCAAATCAATTAAAATTGACAGGGACCAGCGCCCATATACAGTTAGTCATACCCGGGTCTTCATAGCACTGGAGGCAGAAGTATCCAGAACAGCAGTCTTACTGTCTTAGCCAGGCCCATAAGGTAAAATACTTTTTCCTGTGGAAGAGGGACATGGAAAAGTCTGACCTTATTTTGTCTAGGCAAGAGTTGTGCAACCAATTCTCCAATGTCCTGCTGTCTGTCCACAGTCTGGACCCGGTCCTGGCAGCAGGTGTTGCACTGGGGCATCTCGCCCAGTGGTCAGTGTCATCGTAATCCAGGTGGAGACACCATGGTGCCCCATAATCTTCTTTGGAGACCTTGGGTTGCTAATGATGCGGGAGAATTGTCTGTATTCTGTCAATCATATTTTAATAAAACACTGATTGGCCAGGCAGGCAGTATAGGCAGGAAAGCCAGACAGGAAGTAGAGGTGGACTACTTCCTGGGAAAGTAGAGACTGGGAATATTCTGGGAAGTAGGAAGCTCCCTCTGCCACTCCTGCCCAGATCACCGAAGCAGCAGGATGTGATCTGCCCCACTGAAAAAGGTACTGAGCCACATGGCTAAAATAGATCAGAAAAATGGGTTAATCAAGATGTGAGAGTTAGCCAGTAAGAAGCCTGACCTAATGGGCCAATCAGCTTTATAACTTACGGAGTCCTTTGTGTGATTTTTCTCTGGGACTAAACAGCTGGGGGACGGAGCGGAACAGAAACCCCCAACAAACAAACAACCCCTCATGTTACAGGTTACTGCTAGGATCTCGGAGTCTCTGTCTAGTATAGTAAGCTTTTAAATCATTATTTTAAATGCTATATTCTGTAGATCTCTGAAGTATGAGGGCTGCCTAGGTATGTCTGATTAGACAAACTTTTTTTCTAATTACTTGTTTTAAGTTTGACTTTGAAAACATAGACAGGGAACTAAATAAGGCTTATTTCCGTAATTAATAATATCAATACTTTAAGGATGACTGACTAACTTGTATTTCCTAACAGTCTATAATAATTTAGCAGCTTTCACAAGACTAGAACTCCCTACTTTGTAATGATTTTGAATTAAAGCTAATAAACTGAGTTAGTCATTCGGAGAGTAAAAATAGAACGGGTTGTTTCCAGCTGTTAATGCCGTCTCCTGGAAGCAAGAAACAGGTTCCCAGTGTGAAATGGGATCAGGAGGGAGTCTAAGAGCTAGCATTGCCCTAGGGCAAACTGAGACTCATGCCTACCTTCCTGCTAATCTATAGAACACGTCTTGGCAGGTGTCTACCAAGTTGCCCTGGGAAAGCTGCTCTGTTTTCCCCTTCATAAGTAGCAATGAGTACTGATGACAGGACTCAATCATGGGTCCGTCTGTCCAGGGGATCAAAGGGTGATACTGGAACCTCAATACCATCAGTCAGTTGAACAGTATTGACCCGTTCTCGAACAAAAGCCATCAGTCTGTTAATGAGACAGGGGCCGAGAGCTGAAAGTGAGGTGGTTAACCAAGGGGACCAGTTGAACAGGTTTCACACCCTCCAGCTTCCATGTGAGTGTTCCATTTCCTTAACAAGGCCATTGGATCTCTAATTACCCCAGAGTGATTGATATAGAAACAACTTTCTTCCCCAGAAGAGGAGGTCCACATCTCTTAGTATCAATACAAAAATGTATGACTCAGTTTATCCAAATAGCTTAAACCCAACAAAGTTAGCAAAGACAGGCTAAACATACATGTCTAAGTCTGAAAAGACCTTGAACAAGGAAATACATTTTTAAATTGTTAGTTAATATTTTTAATGCTTTGACCTTTTAATATATTTTTCCGTGTGATCCTTCCATTACAGAATTTTTCCTGTTGTAATTTTACTACTGCAGTTTTGCCCATGTTGTGAATCTCAGTCCTAACACCTGACATGCAGGTGGCCCTGTACCCCAAAAGATTGAGACCCACAGGCTTGGATGCTGTTCCAAGCCCTCTATCAATATTTTATAAGTACAAATGTCCCACAGCCTTATAAATTTATTTAAAAGCTTTTTTCTAAAATATTATAATATCTTAAGTGTCTTCCTGCAATATCAGAAATAAAGTACTTCTTTGGTCCCACCCTCGACAGCATATACACAGCCTGTCTTTTAGATCTCAGCCTGCTCCATTTCACTGTAGCTGGTGCTTCTGGTGACAACCACCTGGCACTGGCATTTCTAAAACTGTTAAGGTCAATTGTTGCAACTGCACATTCTTTGGGGCTCTAGTCCTGCCATACATGTGTAAACCTCAGCTGTTTCCTGTGATCCCTTTATGTCTTTATGACCATTATCAACTGGGTGATTCTTAAATTAACAAAATCTAGCTGGCAGAGCAACATAAAAACATTGAGGTGCAGCTTTAATACTTTAAATCCTATATATATATATATATATAAAATACTTTATATATATATATATATATAATACTTTAAATCCTATCTATATATATATCTAGGCAAACACTCTACCACTGATCTACTCCCTAGGCCTCTTTTTTTACTTATTTTGAGACATGGTCTCCCTAAGTTGCCCAGGCTGGCCTTGAACTCACTCTGTAACTTAGGCCTCCAGAGTACCTGAGATGACGGCCTAGGCCACAAGGCCTAATTTTTTAATTAATATTTATTGAGCTCTACATTTTTCTCTACTCCCCTCCCTGCCTCTCCCCTCCCCTTTTCAATCCTCCCCCAAGGTCCCCATGCTCCCAATTTACTCAGGAGATCTTGTCTTTTTCTACTTTCTACTTCCCATGTAGCTTAGATCTATGTAAATCTCTCTTAGTGCCCACATTGTTGTCTAAGTTCTCTGGGACTGTGGTTTGTAGGCTGGCTTTCTTTGCTTTATGTTTAAAAAACCACCTGAATTGTTGCAAAAAGAGTGGCGGGCTGTGTTCCCGCAGGGATCCTGGCTCCCAGGCTAGTTTACACCCGAAATAATTACACGGAAACTGTATTCATTTAAACACTGCCTGGCCAATTAGTTCTAACCTCTTATTGGCTAACTCTTACATATTCTTTTAACCCATTTCTAATAATCTGTATCGCCACTTGACTGTGGCTTACTGGCATGAGTTTAACCAGCGTCCATCTCGGAGAGGAGAGCCATGGCATCTGCCTGACTCTGCTTCTTTCTCCCAGAATTCTGTTCGGTCTACTCCGCTTATCTAAGCTGCTGTCCTATCAAAGGCCAAGACAGTCTCTTTACTTGACATATAAAAGTAACACATAGACAGAAGACCCACCTACATCAATGAGTGAGTACATGTGATAATTGTCTTTCTATGTCTGGGTTATCTCACTCAAAACAATATTTTCTAGCCACATCCATTTTTCTGCAAAATTCAAGCTGCCATTTTTTCTGTTGTGTAGTACTCCATTGTGTAAATGTACCACATTTTCCTTATCCATTCTTTGATCGAGGGGCATTTAGGTTGTTTCCAGGTTCTGGCTATGACAAACAAAGCTGCTATGAACATAGTTGAGCACATGTCCTTGTGGCACAATTGAACATCCTTTGGATCTATACCCAAAAGTGGTATTATTGGGTCTTGAGGAAGGTTGTTTCCTAATTTTCTGAGAAATCACCACACTGACGTCCAAAGGGGTTATACCAGCTTGCATTTCCACCAGCAATGCAGAAGTGTTCCCCTTTCGCCACAACCTCTCCAGAATAAGTTGTCATCAGTGTTTTTGATTTTGTCCATTCTTACAGGTGTAAAATGGAATCTCAGAGTTGTTTTGATTTGCATTTCTCTGATGTCTAAGGATGTTGAACATTTCCTTAAGTGTCTTTCAGTCATTTTAGATTCCTCTGTTGAGAGTTCTCTGTTTAGGTCTGTACTCCATTATTTTATTGGATGGCTACAATATTTTAAACAAGAACAGAAACATGCAGATACTATAACAAAAATAACTTTAAATTTATATCACATAAAATCTTGTACCAGCATAAAACATTTGAGACTAGCAATAGTTTTTTCCATACTGTAGCCAGTCCCTCTAAATTATCACAGCTGTTTATAACCCACTGGATCTGAACGACCAAAGCAGCTCTGGTGGAGGGAAGTCTGGCTTTGGTGTCACAATGTGGCCATTGCAGCTTACCACTTACAGCCAGAGTCCTTGACCCATGGAGCCAAACCTTGGCCAGGTTTACTCAGAGGATGAGGCATGCAGCCCTCAGGGCAGGTCGAGGAAACTCATTCACCAGCAAAGGAGAGGGCAGGGTGACACGCATAGTGGGTGGGTAAGGAAAAGATTGTTAACTTTTCCAGCCATAGTAATTAACCCTAGATTCTCTTGTTCAGTGTTTGAAATCCTATTGGGGCACATCCGCCCCCTACAACTGTGGCTGGAGACCTTGCTACTTTGTAACACAAGTGTGCTGCCCCGCAACCTGTGCTTGTAGGCAAACCTGCCCGCGTTGTCCCCCCACTACAGGCCAGGACTGCCTCCTTTCAATGAAATGTTTAAGGTGGGTAGAGGCTGTTTGTCTCATCCCTTCTAGGAAAATATACCCCTAGGCTTATGGCCTATCTTTAAAGTCCTGTAAGTGATCCAATATCAAAGTCAGATAAGTCCTGATTTGAGTCTGTCCCAGACGGTCAGGATCAGTCTCAGTCAGGACAAAAACACAACAACACACAGACACACAGGACAATGAACAGATAAATCCTCATGACGCTGAGCCAAACCAAACCAGAGACGACAGCCTCAAGCTGTTTTGTGGGTGTTGCCTGACGGTCCATTTACAGAACCGAGACACCAGGAGCATCCCGCAGGGCTCTCTACAAAACTGAAGGAATCCAGTCTCCTACAGAAGGGCCCTGGGGACGTCTCCCCAGGCTCCCATCTGTGATCTTTTTGTGCATCTGCCTAGATTGTCTTATGGTTTCTGGGCCTGCTTACAGACAGACATGAGACACAGACATGTGACACAAAGCAAAACACAGAAAACTTAGTCCCGTATGCAAAAGCAAAGAACCTTTATTCAACACAAGTTTGCAAACTTGGACTCTCCATGTATCCAATGTATTGGAACAATCAGAGAACCCCAAGCTCAGTTAGAGTTCGGTTTTTATAGTAGTAAAGGTGGGGGTGAGAGGTTTCTGAGGTTCAGGACTCCTGATTGGCTGTCATCTGTCTAGAGTGTCCTGGTGAGGGTGCTGGCATGTGATCCTATTTACAATGATTGGAAAGTTAGGCTTTTCCTTTGGATGTTCTATTCTTGGGTGGTGCTGGGTAATCTCAGTTTATGGTTCTTCCTGCAACCAGGTATTGCCTCAGGGTAAACTACTGAGACTCAGGCCCTCATTAAACTTATCCATGGCTGAGTCCTACACTGGCAGGCGATAATGCTTGGAAATCAAAAACTTCCTTTGGGTGATCTGTTCATATGTAGCTTATCGTGGCTGGCTTCTACACGTATGATCTTTGCTGTCCTGGCGTGCTACTCCATCTGTTCTCCTGGCTTGTGGCTGAAGTTCTGCATTCCCCGAGAAGGGAACACACCTAAACCCAGCTGGAGACGCTTGCCTTGGGAAAGGCGTGCCTGTGGAATCTCTGCGCTTTCTGCTGCCATGGAAGCAAGGCGTGAGCAGCTCCTGCGGAGACTTCTATTTCCCGGATACCAGGAGCTGCTCTGACAGACAGACAGACAGACAGACAGACAGACAGACAGACAGACACACACACACACACACACACACACACACACACACACTGGAACCCATAGGGAGGAAGAAAACGACAGCTTTGGTGACCCTGCCACTTTTGTTACTGCAGCGCCACCTGCCGGATGCAGCCCTGAGCACATGCAATTGGAGAAGGAACTCTATCAATCACTCTCTCAAATCCTTACGAGGGCAGGCTGGAGCTCTGAGATGTTCATTTTCCAGCCTCAAACCCCATTTCAGGGTCGATCAGCAGAAAGCTGACTAACTGGCCAAGGACGGCTAAATGTAAATTCTGTGTTCAAGAACTCACCCTGTCCAGTCCTTGGACTGTTTCAGGGAAGCTGTTTATTTTTATTTATTTGAGACTAAGTCTTGCTATGTAACTGAGGAATACCTCGAACTCAGCCTTCCAAGATCTGGGATTATAGGCACATATCTTCACCACAGCCACTATTAAGTCATCTTGGTTTTGCATGAAAAAGTAGCAACTACCCATTTTCCCCTTTGAATAAAATTTTAGCCACCTCCCCACACCCCACATTGCTAAAAGTAAATAATGACTGGTCTCTCAATTCACAAAGACCCCGGGTGGAACTGGGGTAAGGGATGATGTGCCCGCTAGGTGGCAGTAGCCACCCGGGTCTCTATTAAAGGCTTCTCTGGATTGTAATGTCCCGAACACCATGTGCCACTAGAATAGACTGAAGGAGCACCAACTCCACTTGCCTCACTCTGGGTTTACGCAGCTTAGGCCATTTGATCAGTAAGTGCGTGTGTCCCCAGGAATCTTCTTCTCTTCTTGGCTGTGTCTGACATAATAACTGAGACTAAGCCAGGGGTCTGGTAGGGGACACACCTACCAGAAAGTTTAAGGTCCTGCTGCTGAGCCTCTCTGGGCATTGATATTCCTTTTATCCATTGAACAACTTGACAAAGAAGTTTGTTCAGTCTACTGTGGTGTCCCTGGCCTGTAACCTCAGCTGAGGAGCATTAGTTAGTCTGGGCCATGGAATGAATTCAGGGCTGGCCCTGGGAACTTAGTGAACCTGTCCCCAAATTAAAACAGCAAGGCTGGGGGTGAAACTCAGGTGTAGAGCCCCAGCCTAGAGTCCCCATTGAGAGGCTGGGGGTGGGTCAGAGGTCGAACAACACACACACACACACACACACACACACACACACACACACGTATACATGCATATCATCATGTATGCCCAACTTATCTCTGGCCTAGTCAGAATTTTCCTTAGACTGCCGTGATTCTAGAGCAACAAATGACAGATTGTGGGATAAATCTGACCCACAAGCTAACATTTATATTTCAAAAGAGCCCTACATACATCTGTAGTGAATATACAGCAGAGAACCTGTGTCCTGCAAGACTCAGATATTATCTAACCCTTCAGGAAGAAAGAAAATGCTTTCTCAGCCAGTATTGCTTGCTGAGGGTACTCAGATCTAACAGCAGTTGAGAGGGAAGACCCGTCCTTACTTACTCCTGCAGCCAAAAGGCTGAAACTGGACACCAAGGAGAAGAGAGAGAAGAAGCAGAAAGTGGACGAGGATGAGATTCAGAAGATGCAAATCCTCATCTCTTCTTTTTCTGAGGAGCAGCTGAACCGTTAAGAAATGTATCGCCGGTCAACTTTCCCTAAGGCAACCATTAAAAGGCTGATCCAGTCTATCACGGGGACCTCTGTGTCCCAGAATGTTGTGATTGCCATGTCTGGAATTTCTAAAGTTTTTGTGGGGGAGGTAGTAGAAGAAGCCCTGGATGTGTGTGAGAAGTGGGGAGAGATGCCACCACTGCAGCCCAAGCACATGCGGGAGGCTGTTCGGAGGCTGAAGTCCAAGGGGCAGATCCCCAACTCTAAGCACAAGAAAATCATCTTCTTCTAGATCTGCCTGAGAGCGGTCCAGACTCCACAGCTGGGCTGTGCATTGGTGCTCCTCGTCAGTGCTCCAAGGACCCACGATGCTGATGTCAGTGTCTCTGTCACACCTGTAAGGCACCAGTAACAAAGACAAAGACAACCTGCTGGCTTCACTTTGAAGCCTAAAGTTGCTACAACCCAGGTTGTTTCTCGCCTCTGGTTTTTAGAAACTTAACCTTGGGTCATCTGCCATGAAGTCACAAGGGTGACATACTTCATGTTGTTAACATTTCAGATTCTCCTGCGGAGTTACCATTAAACTTTTCCGACTTGTGTGGAAAAGTTTATTTTGTTGAAGGCAAAATTTATCATTCTTCCACTGTCTAAATAAAACTAACCAGTCTTGATTTTGGTTTTTGAAGACCCAAGGAGCCCTGGCTGGCTCCCAAGTGCTGGGATTAAAGGCATGCACAAAAAAAAGACCAAAAAACCCAAAACCAAAAAACAAACAAACAAACAAAAAAACCAAAAAAAAAAAACATGGTCTAGGGAGGGGGTGTCTAAGATAATAATCCTGGGACATTTGAGTGAGCTTTGCCTCCACAGATAGTAAAAAGGCCACCAGGTCTTTACCAATATCCACTTCTAGTTTTCTGGTCTTGAGAAAGCACCCTGTGTGGTTAATGTTCCTGGTTCCCTAGTGATCTGTGGGTAGAAAGACCTTTGTGCGCCCCCAGTACTGGCTGGTTTGTGTGTCAACGAGACACAAGCTAGAGTCACCACATGAAGGACCTTCAGCTGAGGAAATGCCTCCATGACATCCAGCTATAGGCATCACATTTAGTGATCAATGGGGGAGGGCTCAGGCCATCATAGGTGGCGCCATCCCTGGACTGGTAGTCCTGGCTCTGTACCTGGCCTAGCTCCGGAGTCAGCACCTGGACCCAATCCATTCTTTGTTACAGATACCTTCTGTTGCCCTATGTGAGTCTTGTCTGAGGGTTTCCCATGGATACAAAGCCTATGTAAAACTTGGTTTAGGGGCGACCCGGAAAACTGCTGTACCTCCTGAATCAGGTATTGCACTTGGCATTGTTTTTTTGGAAGCTTCATTCAGGTTGTGTTGAGATAAAGAAGTCTACTGGCTAAAGTGTAAATATAGGAAAAAATAAAAATGCCCTGGGCTAAAGGAAACTGCTTCAGTCCATCGAGACTGAGACCCTGCAGCTGCTAAGTTAACTCAGTTCATTCTCAAGGTGCCTCTGAGTCTTCCTTTCATGGACTTGTATGAACACATGTGACCACACCACGCTTCCCACAACATTTTGTGACCAATGTGTGACTTGGAGAAGGACAGAGCAGGCAATCACTTTTGAGAACTGGAAGGACAAGCGCCCTCAGTGGAAGGGGACTCTGTAATGTCTGTCCTGTCCCTTTAAGAGACAAGCCTTGCCCACTCCATCCCTCATCCACTAAGGCAAGCGGGATCGTCCTTCTGCTTCCCGAAGAGGTAACTTCTCTTCTCCCCCCCCCCCCCTTTTCCCCCTCCCCCCCTCTCCTCTTCTCCCTTCTTTCTTTCCCCACTTTCCCTTTCCCCTCCATAACCCACTAAATAAATACCCACTTTCTCTGCATGGCATGCCTAATAGGTCTCTGTCTCTCACCCGCTGCGTTGCTCCCTGCTTGGGACTGGCTACCTTTGTGGCCTGCCATGGTCTCATGGCCTGCTGTGGTCTTGTGGCCTGCTACCCACTGTAGCCACTCAGGGTGGTTTATTTTTTTTACCATAATAGACTCCAGGATCAGCAAGGTCATGTGAAACTACCCATCTCAAGAGCCCTGGTGTGTGCAGTTATTAAGACACCTGCTTGAAGGAGATGGAGTGAAAGTGAGGGAAAACTGCCTCAGAGCTTTTGGGGTTAAGTAGACCATTGCCATTGGCTTCAGGCAGCTCCTCTGTAGGACCCAGCCATGACAAGCTCAATAGAGGGCTGATCTCAGTAGTTTACCCTGAGGCAATACCTGGTTCCAAGAAAGACCACAGACTGAGACCTCCCAGGCACCATCCAGGAACAGACCATCCAAAGGAAATTCCTTCCATTCCAACTGCTGTAGATAGGATCACCTGCCAGCACACAGCCATTGCTTTTCACCAGGACACCCTAGACAAATGTCAGCCAATCAGGGGTCCTGAACCTTAGAAATCCCTCACCCCTACCTCTGTTACTATAAAAACCCAACCCTAACTGAGCTTTCCGATCACTCTAATATGTTAGATACATGTTTGCAAACTTGTGCATAATAAAGGCTTTTTGCTTTTACATACAGGACTTGGTCTCCTAGTTGGGTTTGTGGGAGGACTCCATGATCTGGGTATAACATTTGGGAACTCGTCCCCAAGCCTACCAGGACCTCCCTGTAGAGCCTTCAGCCAGCCTCTAAGTTTTTTGTGTATACATTTCTTTTTGTGTCTTTTTGTTTGGATATTCTTCTGTAAGTGGGCCCAGAATCTGTAAGAACGTGTAGATGGTCTATGCAGACATGCAGAAAGATACACACAGGCAGGTACCTGCAGAGACATCCCCAGGGCCCTTTGTATTTGGGTCCCAGGACCCTTCTGTATGAGAGTGGGTCTCTCTGGTTTTTGTAGATAGACACCCAGATGCTTCCAGAGTCTCAGTTCTGTAGATAGAAAGGTTACACCTGCAAAGTGGCTTGAGGCTGTTGTCTTTGGTTCGGTTTTGCCTCCAGGTGCTAGAAGGACTCTGTATTGTTCTATGTGTAATGGTCTGTCCTGTCCCTTTAAGAGGGAAGCCCTGCCTACTCCCTTCCCCATCTGCTGAGGCAAGTGGATCTTCCTTTTCCTTCCTTTCTGTCTCTCTCTCAAAGAGTCAGTTTCTGCCTCTCTCCCTTCTCCTCACTTCTCCCCTTCTCCCCTCCTCTCTTTCTCTCTCTGTTTTTCTTCCCTCTCTCTGTGCCTCTCTTTCTGCTCTTCTCTCTTCTCCCTTTCTCCCTTTTCCTTCCATAGCCCACTAAATAAATACCCACTTTCTCTGTATGGTGTGCCTATCCATGTTTCTGTCTCTCACCTGCTGTGTGACTCCCTCCCTGGGACCTGCTGGCCCTTGTGTCCTTTGGACTACTGGGGGAACTCAGCATTTTACTATCACAGCTCCTTGTGGCCTGCTGCCTACCACAACCACTCGGGAAACAGTGCCATTTTATTTTTACCATCACACTATGTGCTGTTTTGTTTTTGTCTTTTGTGCATTCTCTTTCTGACTTAAGAGACTGATGTGACTTAAATCACTACTACTTTGACTTTGGTATTGGATCACTTCCAGGACTTTAGAGATAGGGTCATAAACATAGAGGTATATTTTCCTAAAGGGGTGAGACAAACCACCTCTATCCACCTTAAACATTTCATTGAAAGGAGGCAGCCCTGGCCTGTAGTGTGGGGACAACGCGGGCAGGTTTGCCATACAAGCACAGGCTGTGGTGCAGCATGCTTGTATGGATGGGTGGCTGGGCTATATAGCCTTGTTGTTACAATGTAACAAGGCCACCAGCCACAGTTGTAGGGGGCGGATGTGCCCCGATAGGATTTCAAACACTGAACAAGAGAATCTGGGGTTAATTGCTATGGCTGGAAAAGTTAACAATCTTTCCTCACCCACCCATGCTGCATGTCACCCTGCCCTCTCCCATGCTGGTGAATTGGTTCCCTTGAGGGCTGCATGCCTCAACTTCTGGTCAAACCTGGCCAAGGATGGGCTCTGTGGGCCGAGGGCAATGAGTCACAGTCACTGGCTTATGTGTTAAGCTGCGATGAGCATGTTGTGACACTATAGCCAGACTTCCCTCCACCAGAGCTGGTTTGGTCGTTCAGATCCAATGGGTTATAAACATCTGTGATCATTTAGAGGGGCTGGCTACAGTATGGAAAAAAACTACTGCTAGTCTCAGATGTTTTATGCTGGTACAGGATTTATGCAATGTGAATTTAAAATTATTTTTGTTATAGTATCTGTTTCTGTTCTTGTTTAAAATATTATAGCCATATACTATATTATAAACTACTGAGGGAAACCATAAGAAAGATTTTGGTGAGAGTTTTTATGTTGTCTGTAAAGCTAGGGAGAATGCAGGAGACTGAAAGAACGAAGAGAGGAAACACGAATTGAAGGTTTATAAAAAGTTATAGACGGTCAGAAGGGGATGTGAACTGTGAACTGTGTTTGCTGTGGTTTCTCATACCTGCAAGTACTGAATATGCTTGTTTTGTGGAGAAGTTTGTCTATGTAGGTTTTCCTGCAAGCATGGAGCTGAGACAGAAATGGTTTGGCTATTTTCGCTGTCTCTGCCACCCATCGCTGCTGTGGCCACATTTACAGGCCTGACTTCAGAAATTTATCTCTGAGCTCTGATTACTAAATTTGGGTTAGCAGAAATTCAGATGACTTTTTGGTATAGATCATGTTAAAACTGTCTTATGATTTTTTTAATTGAAAATCTAGATCTAGAGCTGCATTATGGCTCTTCCTTTGTTAGACCCATGCTCATTTAAAAGTTTCCTCTGTCCCTCTGTCAGTCTGAGCCCCCGGCACAATGACAAGAAAAAGAAAACAAAGTAGAACAGTCACATGCTGTAGCTTCAGATTTATAAGTTTATTTTGTCAGATATGGTAAAAATCTGTTAAAATTAAAATAAAACTATGTAAAAGTTAATTAGTAACTGTTATCATTCATAATGCTGGTAACCTGAGGCCATCCCCATGAGGGGCAGTGGTGGGTGATCTGAGGCCTTGGGGGGTCCCCTGGCTGGTGGCCGGGGGGCTATGTCAGAGACAGATAGATATGCCAAGCAGAGAGAGCAAGAGTATAGAGTTTATTTAGTGGGTTATGTGGTGTGGAAGGTCCTTCTGTCTATGTGTTACTTTTATTGGTTAATGTATAAAGAACTGATTTGACCTATGGCAGGGAAGAATAGAACTAGACAGGGAAAGTTAGGCTGTATGCTGGGAGAAAGAAGGGAGGAGTTAGAGAAAGGTCATGGAACTTTAGCTGGTAAGCCACAGTTATGTGACTCTACACACATGAATAGAAATGGGTTAAATTAGTATGTAAAAGTTAGCCAGTAAGAAGTTAGAGCTAATGGACCAAGCAGTGATTTAATAATTAATTAATTAATTTCTGTGTGATTATTTTGGGTTTAAGTTAGCTGGGCAGCTGGGAACCAACACACGCCCCCCTCCTCCTCCTACAAATTGGCACCCAACGTGGTGGACTAAATCCATGTAAAACCTGAGAGAGCTTGGAAAGGAACTCTAGACACAAAACCCCCAAAGTTTAGATGCATTTTTTTTCCTTAGCTGTGGGAAACACAGCTCCTTTAAGAGAGGTC